ATCTGAGGCTAGCTCCCCACCCGCAACCCAAAGCATCCTCTAGGTTCAAGGGGAAAAGCTCAAGCTATTGGTCAGAATCCCAGTTTAGCTATTTCCTAACTGAATGATTTGGGAAAGTCATTTATCTTTCCCTTATCAGTAAACGAAGAATAAAAATACTTACTTTAGTGGACTGCTGTGAAAATAAAGTCTGCCTAGCATTTACTCAAGAGTTCTCAGAACTTTTCCTCCTTTATCTCATTGCCGCCCCCCCCTTCTCCTGGCCATTCAAATGCAAAATCTCAGGAGCTGCAATCTGAGTGATGAGCCCTGGGGTAGGGCTAAAGTACCAAACAATTCCCATTATGTGAATAAATTCCATTTCTCTTGGAACCATCTGGCTTAGATTGTATATATTCCATTATTTTGATTTCTGGGTGGCCTTGGAGGCTTGGAATATTCAAATAGATTTGACAATACTTTTTGGGGAGGGGGACAGTGGGAGGGCAGCTGGTCGATACAGAGATCGAACCCTGGACCTGGTGTTATCACTACTACACTCTAACCAACTGAGCTAACCGTCCAGCCTTGGGTGGGTTTTTTTTTTTAAAGATGACCGGTAAGGGGATCTCAACCCTCGGCTTGGTGTTGTCAGCACCACACTCAGTCAGTGAGCAAACCGGCTATCCCTATATAGGATCCGAACCCGTGGCCTTGGTGTTATCAGCACCGCACTCTACCGAGTGAGCCATGGGCCGGCCCTCTTGGGTGGGTTTTAAGACTGCTATTCACTGCCTTGATATGTTTTTCCCTTGCTGAGGTTTAGTTTACCCCTCTGGGTATCAGCCCAAATCAGAAAAATAGATACCATACCAGAATGTTCCCCAGTTTCCCTGGCTTTATGTTTGCAAAGTGTTTCCTTTTGTATACCAGTTGTTTGGTGACTTTTTTTTTTAAGCACCAGGTTCCTTTGGTTCAAAGAAAATCTTATCCAGAAGCCAAATATGCGAGAGATAAAGGTGGGCCTTGTTTGGTTGAAGTGGGGACAGCCTAAGCACTGCAGTCTCTATTCCTTCACTTCTCATTCATGCCTCCTCCCTGACAGCCCTTGCCCCAACAAAGACCTCTAGTGAATCCACATTTGCCAAATCTTGTTCATTCATCCCAGCTACACCCTACCTCTCCACATCCTGTGACAGTGCAGCCTGGCCTTGTCCTCAGTTACCTCAGCCTTCAGTATCTTCCAGGGGCTTTGCTTTCTCCATCCATCCCTCCCCTAAATGTTGGTGGCTCCCAAAGGTCTCTCCTCTCTTCTTCCTTATTCTTTGCTGATCTCACCCATCTCACCCACTTCAAGGCTCATCACTTCTATCTAAACTAAGTCTCAAACTGGACATCTCCAGCCCAGTACCTGACCTGAACATCAGACTCCACTTTTCCACTGGCGCTGGCCACAGAAAAGGCAATCATTAAAATTCAAGAAAGTAAAATAAATAAATAAGTCAGGAAAGTAAAACAGAGACCCCATAAGATGAAACGGCCGACCTAGGCTCAGCTGTGCATCTGGCCAATCTAGAGGCTTAAGACAAACTACATAGCAGCTTAAAGAAGTAGCCAGATTCTAATGTGGGGGGAGGGGTAGGAAGTGAGCCTGGAATGGTGGAAGGGGCACTGTGCCTTTTTGGACAACATCTCACTGTCTTACTTTCCTACTGTAGTCATTTCTAGTCCTAACAACCATCAGGAACACATTACCGTAAACTGCTGAAAAGGCACCACAGCAGCCAACCTCTATCTAACCACCCCTATGTAAGATTCTAGTGTAGTTAGCTGTGTCCACCATGGCCTTCACCTAAAAAAGATGGATATTTAAGACTGCAGCATGCCATATTTAGTTTAAACAGGAGGAAGGATTTTATGACAGCTAAAGTGGAGTAGAGGGAGAGTAAACACTGCTACAGGTTTCAGAGTGCTAGATTTCTATTTGTGCAGAAGACCCCAGTCTTCTCTGTGGTGAGTTAAGAGCAGTGCAGTCCAAAACACTTGATATTCACAATCGTTATGTGATGGTAAATATGGGGCAGATACCTCCCAAGAGAAAATCTGATCCCCAGGCCAGTGGGAGCTTCCACTCCTGCCCTTGGTAAGCTAACAGTGGTCTGTGGGCAGTGAACAAGGCCAGAAACAAATCTAAGACCTAGGTTGGGAGCTCTGGGACCTTTGGTCAGTTCATTCTTTGGCTCTGAGAGCAACAGGGAAGCCTTAAAGGCCTATGGGCTGGGTCTTGGAGATTACAAGGGAGATGTGACCTGCTTTCCATTCAAGTTAGGGACTGAGTGTGAAGAGAACTGAGGGAATATAGATAGAGTAGCAGCAGCAGCCTGAAAAAAGAGGCATCGAAGACAAGCTAAAACTGGAGAGGGCAAGAGGGAGCTGACCCAACCAGAATGAGGGTCTGATAGTTCCTCTGGGTATTTACGGTCCAACAAAGAACCAAACCCTTAGAGTCAGTGGACCCATAGTAGTATCATCTACTGCAGCCCCTTCTTTTCAGAGGGAAGCTAGGACTTGGGCTGGGTTGAATGGTAAGCCTCAAAACCACCAAAAAGTTCAGTCACCCTAGGAAAGCTTTTCTACCTGGCCACTGCCTCTTGCCCCACCTCCCTCCAGGTCTCTCTGATTTGCTAGTGTTTTGTATGTGTGTCTGATCGTCCCTAGAGATGGGAAGCATCCCTCTGAGGGCAGGAGCCATATCTCCCTAAGGCCATGATGCTTAATAGTCCAGTCTCTCAAGAACAAGTCCTACTCTGTCATTTGCCTACATACTGTCACATGGAGAATGACAGTGGTGAGTGAGCCTCCTAGGCTGAGGATGTTGAAGTACCCTATACCTTAGGAGTCCTATCCTAACCGACACGAATGGGGAGGATAAAGGGAGCAACAAGAACAAGAGAGGACAGTCAGATTATCTCTGGTGTTTGAAGAATTACATACCATGGGAATGTTAGGGAGAGTAAGTTAGGTGGAAAAAAGCAATCAAATCAGAAGCAGAAGGCTGCTTTAGCCCATAATGCTTTCTTCTCTCCCCTGAACACTTTTCTCTTGCTTTGTTCACTGAATCTCCTGTGTGAAAACCTTGATTTTATGAACAGATTCTGGGCTACCTCTCTGCCTTCCCCTTCATTTACCTCCTTCAACACCGAGCACAGGTAGGCTGACACCAGCAAAAGCTACAAACAAAAATGGCAGTGCGGGGAAGATATTGGTCCCTTTCTCTCAGGGTTTTACTGAAGATTCAAGAAACATCAATTTTCTAACTCTCCCTAGAGTCAAGAACATGAATTAAATCAGTGGTTCCCAAACCTGAATCATCCTCTCACTCAGCCACCAAGGAATGGGCCCAGGAATCTGCATTTTATGGAGCTCTACAAGTGATGACCTCACAAATCCTCAGACATGCAATAAGGAATTCATGTATAACTCTGAATTTAGAGGGCAGTTGGGTTATAGCCTCTTCAAATAAATAGCAGTTTGGGATTACCTCCTCCAGACTTCTCATCATCAATCCTGTGTCCTACATATTCCACCAAAACCCTAACCTCTCTGATTTCTCAGATCTCAAAGAATCTCTGCTCACTTCTTATGCCTGCTTGCCTTCAAGAAAATGAAGGTTCAGGCCGGCCCGTGGCTCACTCGGTAGAGTGTGGTGCTCATAACACCAAGGCCACGGGTTCGGATCCTATATAGGGATGGCCGGTTTGCTCACTAGCTGAGTGTGGTGCTGACAACACCAAGCCAAGGGTTGAGATCCCCTTACCGGTCATCTTTTAAAAAAAAAAAAAAAAGAAAATGAAGGTTCATCTGAGGCAAGGAATGGCTTAATCCTCTGCTCTATACTTCAGCTCTTGATTAAGGTAAGAAACTCAAGCAAAATTTGCTGGCAGATCAGGAAATGAATCCTTACACAGAGTCTAGTGTAAGAATTAAGAACAGGTACTTTGGAATCAGATGAGCAAATGAACTTTCCTGTGTCTCAATTTTGTTCTTCTGTCAATATCTACCTTTAAAAGTTGTTTAGAGTGAAAGAAATAATACCTAGAAAGTACTCTAAAACAATGCCTGCAATAGAGTAAGCATCCAGTAAATGTTAGGTGCTATTACTGTTATCAGGAAGACCCCAATATTTGCACACTCTCCAGACCAGAAGTGCCTCAACTAGGTAGGCTGTCACTGATCAACGGGAGTAGCTACATGGTATGGGGAACAGTCCTACAGAGAAAACGCTTCTGGTTCTGTTCTTTCTAAGAGAGAGAGATACAAATGACTCAAGACCTTCTCACAAAGATTGTCGTACCCATAGATGTGGAGTTTACCAGGGAGAATGACCCCTTTGGTACTCTGCAGACCTGAGGACCCTACACCAGGAGGTTCTATCTGGGAGAATCAGTTACCAACCCTGTCACCCTTCTAGTCTACTACGTGAAGCCTTGGGCTCAAGATCAACTATCTGGAATTTAAGAGCTATTTATACTCTCAAAGGAGAGCTATAAGAAAAAGAAGAGAACAAAAACCCTGGTCTCTAAAGACAAAGCACTATCTCCTTCTTTGATGCAGTGAAGGGACCAAAGGCTTTGTAAGCAGACCAACTTGAACTCCAGTTCTGCAGCAAATCACCGTAACCCTCTGGACCTCACCTTCCTCATCTCTATATAGAAATGGGAGAAGGCTGGATAGAAGAAGGGAGGGAAGATAGTATCTCACTGGATTGCTGTAAGGTTTGAATGAAGTAAAGGGGGAGAAAGTACCTAGCATAGAGCTTGGCACACAGCAGGCACTCAACAGTGCTGGTCTCTTTGTCCAGAGCTATCACCTACAGACAAGGAGGGTGGCTCTCAGAACTGAAAGTCTCAGATACTAAAGGCCTGGGTCCCTCCCTTCCTCCCCAACCCTCCCAGACCAGACCCTGGATCCCCTCCTCACCTTCCCAGCCCCAGAATGCTATATTGATGAAGCTAAAAGGGTTTGATCATATTGGTATATTTATATGTAAATACAAAACTGTATCGCTGTAAGATATTGAATATGAACATTACAATTATTTTCTGAATCTGACTCAATCCATTGATGTTAAATACAAAATGAAAATGATTTTAAAAAATAAGAATATACACATTCAAAGAGCTTATTACAGTATAAAATTATTGAGGTCTGATCAACTGCCAACCTCATCTTCTGTGATGGGGGAAGAAGGTTTAGGGATTCCTGGAATTTTCTTGGAAATGTGAAGTGCTGGGGACTCTTGACTCCATCCCTGACACATCAGGCTGGGTGGGCTGGGAGCAAGCAGAGACAGGTTGGGTGGGTACAGGGCAAACTGTGATTGCAGGGGACCACCTCACCCAGCCAGCTTTTTATTGGCACAGAACCCACCCAGCTTGAGCTCCAGGGTCCGGCAGGCTAGTAGGCAGAAAGATATGGGCATCTCAGTAGACAGAGCTAAGCTGCATAAGGAACCATCAGCAAAAGAAAAAGGGGCCCCAACTCCTCCTTCCAGGGAGGGATTCTCATAGCACTTTCATCTCTCTCACACACACCTGGGCTCCCCCCACTTTCCTTCTAAGACTTCGTACCAATTGCTTTTGGCTTTGGCCATTCAGTGAGTTCATCTCTACCCTTGGTCCCCCATCCCTGGGGTAGTAATAGGAAAGAGAGGATCTAGAATCACAGTGGAGGTCTGTTCCCAAAATCAGCAAAGTAAACAAGAGAAAAATCATTAGATAAGGGCAATCCATGCTGAACTGATTCAGTGTCACAACAAACCAGTATTCTTTCTTCCAACAGGCAGCATCCAGAGGGAAATAAGTCATTACTTAAGAATGAGGGCCTGTGGCAGGAACATGAAAATGTATATGTGTCTTCTTCCACTATTCTGTGGTCTCACAATGGCAGACATGATCCCCAACCCTAGCTAATATAGGACAAATAGTAGGGTCCAAGAAACAAGGAGTCCTGAAGTGCAACACAGAGCCCCAGGAACTTCTACAAAGGAGTACCTGTGTGTATATATATTTATAGAATATGACCATATTATCACATACAATATATATTACATACACACGTACATATGGACCCATACATATAAGTGCACATACACACACACACACAGAATGACAGAAAAGACTGGCATACACGCCCTACATATAAACGTGCTTGGCACTCGGGATGATCTCTAGAATATGTAACTTGGTCAAGCTTTCTGGGGAGGACAGTGAATGCTCACCAAACCTTCCCATAAAATCCTAGCAAAGGGAAGGAGTAGGAGAGAGGAGACCTCCAGGAGGAGAATGTATTGGGAAACAGGGAGGGAGGTTCCTTCCCCACTTATCTCAGGGCCCCTGGCAAAAATCAATAGCCACAATTTGGTTTTAATAAGGCACAGTTCGATAGCAGGTGCTAGGAATTAAGAACACATTGCTGCTGGCCCTTTCTCGTGGCAATTTCACCACATTTATCTAGTCAAAGGGAAAGGCTGCCTTGCGTGTACACGTGCGCCGGGAGACACGAGAAAGAGGTTGATCCATGGCTTCAGCATAACTGATGGCAACCTATAGGCTCAGAAGTGTCCAGGGTAGTTTAAAGAAGGCTGGCCAGCAGGTAGGAGGCTCGTGGGACAGTTACTGACCCTCCATGGCCAGCAGATTCTGGCCAGAAGTCACCATGCCCTCCTTCTCTGCATACTCCAGGATAGCCTTGTAGCAAAAATAGTACTGCTCAGGTGTCTGGATGCTGAAGGCCCTCTGGGTCCTCATGCGTGACACCGTCTGGAATACATTAAGGGTGCCAAGCTCCTCCAGCTGTGCCAAGCAGATGTCCAGTGAGCAGAAGGTACCTGAAGAAGGAAGGAAGTGATCACATCTGGTTTACCTCTCCTCTCTTCTTCCCTCTACCAAATAACCCAGGCATGATTAGATGAATGAATTCAAAGGCAAGGTGCCTCACAGCAGGAAGCCAGATGGCCTTAGGTCTGAAAGGACTCAGGGAAGAGGTCACAGGGAGTGTTGGAGGCCAGAGAAATGAGAAGGCCCCCTGTCTCTCAGGATACACATGGGGTAACAGGAAAAATAAGCGGGAAGGTGACACAAAGGAACTTCCCACTTCAGTCCCACACCTCATTTCCAGAGACTCTACAACGTCTCCACAGAGGCCTAACCCAAACTTATTCTTCCTGATTTTCTCCCAAAGGGACCTTTGGACTGGAAGGACTAGTAGTTCCTGCAATGTACATCCCCTTAAGGCAAAAGCTGCTAATTGGCCCCAGAATTGAGAACACAGTGCAGGGTGGGGAATCCCTCCAGAGAGGGGGGACTAGGAAGGAAGCAACAGCCCAGCTGAGCTCTCTGGGATACCCACAGTGATGGTGATGACAAGGGACAGGGTCAGAAGATAACCATGCCAATGGGACATATAATGCAACAACCCCTAAAGGGCTTGGCTTGTTAATTATTTATTCTGGCTAGCAGCTAGCAGTAGGGATACCAAAAGGACATTAAAGAGGGATTTTTCACAGCAATTCACCACCAAGGGATCAAATGAATTCTTTCTCCAATCACAGATATAGGCTAAGAGCTTTGTTATTCCTCCCCCACCCTCACTGCCTCTGGATGCACCAAGAGCTGTGTCAAGTGCATTACCTGTCCTGCCAATGCCTGCACTGCAATGGACCACAATGGGTGGCTCAGGGCACTGCCCTTTGAAGCGTGTACTCATGCTGCTGACGGCCAGACTCTGCTGATTTCTGACCACTCTCAAGAAGTCAATGAGGGAAGCTGCTGAGGAAGGGACACCATAATCTGGCCAGCTCAGGAAATGGAAGTGGGTCACCTGGCGTTTCTGCCGTTCCTTAGATGAAAAAAAAGCAAAAGTTAATGAGGTCACTTCTGCCTGCCCCTGACTACCTTCAGCTTTTCCAGATTCTCAATACCCTGTTTGTTATTTCTATCACCAAGGCTCCTAGCTACCACTCTCAACTTTCTCCATGATTGCGTCTCTACTACAAACCCAAAGGAAGAGTTAAATGTTTGGAAAGAGCAGAATTCCTATATTTTAGGATCCAGATTTTTTATAAGTTTTATTCCTATGTAATGCCACTATTGTGTTGAGATAATGTGGCTATATTGGCTCTGAACTGAATAGCCTCATCCCCTTCCCAGAAAAACAGAAGCAACTTATAACCTTCCTAGAATCCTGCCTATTCCCTCTGAAGATTTTCTTTATTGTAAAGGTTCTCCCCCAGTATCAAAAGGTGAGAATATAGAAACCTGGATTTACCTCTGTGTTGTGAATTTCAAGTGTTGTTTTCTTATAATGGTTCATGTTCTCCACGCCTAGATTGGTCACTGTGAGGAAGCCAAATCGGATCCGAGAGTCTTTTTCTAAAGGCCAGTATTGGCCACACTTTCTCCTGCCACCCTCCTCAAAGCTAAAAACACACAGAGCAAAGTAAGCCTTCTACCGTTCCTCTCCACAGTAATAAACACACTCCCCCCATGACCAGCTACACCCGCAAGCAGCAATGTCATCTCTTTCATTGCTTCTAACGTATACCATTGATTCTTAGCAGAAAAACAAGGAAATGTCTTCATTCTAAACAGAGGTTAACAACAACTAAAGTTTCTGCACGTATTCATTTAGCAGACATTTATTAAGCACTACATCATTTAGTCTCTTTCCTGATACCTCATGGTACTTCTCACCTATCCGCAATAAATACTAGGTAGGTAAAGACAGACAGTAGAGAAAATGTAGTGGGTCAGAGAGAACTCTCTGGCCTGTACCTCAGCCACTGTTCATTCTCTTCCCCAATAAGGGTCCTTGGCTGATAGAGGTCTGGGAAAGACCTGGCTACTGGAATGTCAGTGGGAGGTTTGTGTAAAGGCCTAAAGTCCACTTTACCACTCTTTAGTGGCCCCAAAGTACTCCAAGGTGGTACTTCCCCCTCTATCTCCTCTCCAAATCAGAGGTGGCTATAACAGTGCCCTTAAGAAGAGAACTAAGCAAACATTCTCATTCCTTTTTTCCTCATCAGGAATAGGTTATAATTATCATAATGACAATGATGATACTAATGAAATAGATAATTCCTTAAATTTGGCAGATTTGTAAATCAAAATTTCAAAAATATTTCTTTCACGAAGAGCTTCCTGCCTGAGCCATTATGTTTCATCTCCCTTTTTTTGCAGTTCTCCTACAGGTGGAAATATGAATGCAGAGAAAAGTGGGCAAAAGAAGCAGCAAATGGACAGCAAAGGAGAACTGGTAATTCAGGAGCCAGGGAGACTGCTCCCCTCTGGAAATAGGGGCAGATTAAAGGTGAATTGTCCAATGTTTCCCAATATTCCCTTCAGTGAAGAAGACCAGGACCACAGAATACACTGTAACTGGCACAGGGTCACCAGAGCCATGGATTAAAGCTCTGACAAGTTAGATCTATCAATTTCCACCATACCCTGGTTATGTTAACTATGGATCAGCTAAGAAAAAGCTAAAATATCTCAAAATCTTTGTCATTGCTTTCCTAATTCTCACTATTGTTTTGTTTTTGGCAGCTGGCCGGTGAAGGGATCCAAACCCTTGACACCTTGGTGTTATAACACTGTGCTCTAACCAGCTGAACTAACCAGCCGGCCCCCTCATTGTTTCTAAGAGCTACACTTCCCTCTGGAATCACCTATGGTTGGGGACAGGGTAGGAGTGGAGATCAGTTGGGGGAAAAAGCAATTAACTCACCGGGTGGTCATGACAATCACCAAGACGTTTTGCTCCCATACCATAAGCCAAAAATCACAATAGGTATTCTCCAAAGGGCCTGGAATGAAAGGAGAAGACAAGGAACATGACCCTGGGAAGCACACGTTTCTTAGGCTCTTCTGTTTTTCTCCCAAATACTCCAAAATACAGATAGTTTAGCTCCCTGCTCTTCCCGACACATCCCTGCTATTCAGTGTAGTCCTTAGACCAACTGCGTCAGTATCATATGTGAGACGGTTAGAAATGCAGAATCTGCAAGTTAACAAGATCCCCGGGTAAGTTGTATGTAGGTTACTGCTTAAATACTGTTACATGCTCCCTTAGAGCCTTACTCATCAGTGCTTCAGTCATCACATCTGGGATGACAGTGTCAACTTATACATGTTTTTAGCTGTTTTCATCTCACCTAAGCTTCAGCCTTATAATGGTTGCCTACTAAACCATTCTCCTTCTGTGTCCCATCATCTCAGATCTATTACGTTGGCAACTCAGTCTCCTCCTTCAAAATTAGCTTTATCTATCAACTTTCTTACCCCTGTTAACAATAATGGCATTCTTAAATCATTCAGTCTCAGAAAGTTGAAGTCACCTCTGACTTACCCATTTCCTTCATCTCCCAGAGGCAGTAAGGCACCAAATCCTAGAGATTTTTTGCCTTTGAAATGTTTTTGGTTTTTATTCTTTTACCCCCCCACTTTTCCCATCCTGTTCTTCCTGCCCAATTTCACTGCCACAAGGACCACCTCATCTTTTGTCCAGGTTATTGTAACATCATCTTAACAATTATTTTTTTTTTTGGAGGGGGGACTGGCCAGTACAGGGATCCAAACCCTTGACCTTGATGTTACCAACACTGTGCTCTAACCAAGTGAGCTAACCGGCTAGCCCTGTAACACCATCTTAGTTTACTTTTCTGCACAGCTCTCTTTCTTTCCAGTATATTCTGGATACCCCACCAGTTTAATCTTTCTAAAAAATTGCTTCATCACAATATAGACACACTATGCTCACTTCGGCCTCCATTTCTTTGCTCAAGCTGTCTCCCTCACCTCCAGTGCCATTTACTTTCTATTCATTTTCAAGTGCTGCCTCTTCCATGATGCTTTCACTGACTGCCACACTCCTTATGGGACTTCCTCTCCTTTGAGCTCTTAATGGCACAGCTGGATCTAAACAGCTTAACCATTTGATTTATATGGTCTTACATCATTCATTTTACTTTATGGTTATTAATGATGTCTTAGTAAACATGGTCCTGAGGGCAAGGGCCATGTTGTCAAATTCTCCTTTTATGGTTAGAACCTGCAAAGGGCTGAGCAAGAACTTTGAAGATACTCGTGGACCATCAACTTCCTTTCAATCAACAGAGTAACAACTCAGGATAATTGCTTGTATTTTCCCAGTGCTTTTTCCTCCTCTGCTTTGAGGGAAGTGGGGCAATATCAAGGGTTGATCTGGGCCTGGAAGTCCACTGGTTCCACTACCATTTTTGCTGAATCTTTTAGCAAGCACTAACATCTAATGATATTGGAATTCCCTTTTTGAAGAGGTGGATCCTGCCAAAAGCATGGGAAGTCTTGGAAATAAGCTAAGTGTCCAACAAGAGAGAATTAGTTAAATTATGGGCCGGCCCGTGGCTCACTCGGGAGAGTGCAGTGCTGATAACACCAAGGCCCCGGGTTCGGATCCCATATAGGGATGGCCGGTTAGCTCACTGGCTGAGCGTGGTGCTGACAACACCAAGTCAAGGGTTAAGATCCCCTTACCGGTCATCTTTAAAAAAAAAAAAAAAAAAAAAAATTATGGCATAACCATAATTTACATAGTCCATAAAGATGATGTTGTGAGATCTATATTTTTTGCCATGGAAAGTATTCACAAAATACCGTTAAGTGAAAAAAGATATAAGGTATAGAAAGAGATCATTTTGTTAAATACTTTATATGTCATATCTATATGTATGCACAGAAAAGGTCCAGGAGGAGATGCTACAAAATGTTAACATTATCTCTGCGTCCTAGGGTTATGAATGATTTTTATCTTTGTTTTCTAAATGTTCTATAGTGGACCTGCATTACCCTAGTGTACACATCAAGAAGATAATAAAAACACCTTTTTCTCATCTCTGACCCCCATCCTTATTCACATCTTCCCACCTGCACCACAGCAGCTCTCATATACTTTATTTTCTACATTCAAACCACTGGCAGAATTGGGATTGCTGAGCAGTCAGGGCACCTGGTAACCCAGATACCAGACTCAGGCTAGGCAGAAAGGATCATAACTTTCTCAAAGGCATAAAAGAGAAACTTAGAAAGGAAAGTTGTACTTCGCAGGTTAGACCCTTTAACAGTAGACTTCTTTGAAGAAATAAAGTCAGTGGTTTATACTGACATAGGTGAAACAATCCACTGACTTGGCTTGCAAAGACTTCTGAACCACACAGAAATGAGTCTGAATCCTAGTTCTGCCACTTACTAGCTGTGTGATCCAAGGTCACCTAAACTTTTGGGCTTCAGTTTGCTCATCTACAATATAAATTAATAAACTTTCCTTGCAGAGTTTCTATAATGATTAGATAGAGATTATGTACCTAACATATAACAGGTACTCTCAGTAGAAATGTTATTATGAATAAGAATCAGAATACTGAATATAGGGCTGGCCAGGTGGCGCACTTGGTAGAGTGCCGCTCTTGGGAGCGCGGCGGCGCTCCTGCCGAGGGTTCGGATCCCATATAGAGACCGGTCTGCTCACTGGTTGAGCGCGGTGCAGGCATGACACCGAGGGTTGCGATCCCATTGCCAGTCGTGGTGCGGGCGCAACACTGAGGGTTGCGATCCCGTTACCGGTCACGAAAAAAGACAAAAAGAAAAAAAAAAAAAAAGAATACTGAATATAGACAAAAAGGTAGGCCAGGCAAATCAAACATGCCTTCTCAATATCACAGGACCCATTTTCTGGTCCTAAAAGAGTACTGAAGCCTTTTAAAGGTGATCAGTGCTTGACTCAACAAATCTCTGTGTAGATGATTCATCCTCCTGTGGAGAACAGGTAGCCCAGAGATCAGGCCCCCCCCCCCCCTTTTTTTTTTAAAGATGACCGGTAAAGGGATCTCAACCCTTGGCTTGGTGTTGTCAGCACCATGCTCAGCCAGTGAGCGAACCGGCCATCCCTATATAGTATCCGAACCCATGGCCTTAGTGTTATCAGCACCGCAGTCTCCTGAGTGAGCCATGGGCCGGCCCCAAGATCAGGCTCTTTTTTGCTTTGTATTTTGTTTTGAAACTATATTTAATGCTTTTATACAAAAGGGGGAGGGGTGGGGAGAGAGCTGAACCAATCACCCTTATGTGAAAATGTCTTATTGATTATGCTTGAGATAACCTGTGAAGTGGTGGAGGAAGGACCTAAAGGAAGAAGGAGCTAGGACAGAGGCAGGGATTGGAGGACCATAAACATCCTATGTATAACCCTCCAGGCCCCAATGTCTGGTCTCCAATGTTTGCTCTTCACAAAATAAGGCCACTGCAGGGACAATTCTCCTGGTCTTAGAGTGGGGAGGTCAGCAGATGGAACTTGAGCACTGGGTGTAGAGGGGTTGGGGCACTGGCAGCTGGCCAGCTACCTGGGTAAGTGGGAAAGCAGAGAGCAAAGAGGTAGTCCCTCCTCTTATTTATCCCTTCACCCCCGGGCCAGAGCCGAAGGTTCAAGTGCCTCAGGCCCAGACCCCTTGACTCTTCCTGATTGGGAGTTGGATTTACCACAGGTAGGGGTCAGGGGATTAGCTGGTCCTCATCCCTAGGTTTGCTTCCTTCTCACCTTGGGATTCTGACATGAACAGGTGAAATTCTGCATGATTTTTTGTTGTTGTTGTTTTTTATTAATGGTATGTTTGCTATTATGGCCAATATGTAAATGTTACTCTGAACACATATTTACATACCATGTTACTTAGCGACATTATCTGAACATTTGTATGCACGTTTGAGAAGTTGTCTGCATTAGTCATTTAAAAAATATGTCACCTTAAGCTTTCTAAGAGGTATATAAAATGAAATTTTAAAATAAACAAACAAACAAATAAATAAAAACAAATCCTCTCTCAGCTCTTTCCCTGCCACGACTGAGTTGTGCATGGGTGGAGGCTTGAGTGCATTCAAGATTCAGCTTCACATATAACCCATCAAAGAAGGCACTGCTGCGGGAGGTGCAAGGATGTTAATACTGCTTTACATGAGGTGCTGAAGACCACCTTCATCAAAGATGCCTAGCCTGTGGAATCTGTGAAGCTACCAAAGCCTTAGACAAACACCATGCCCATCTTTGTGTGCTTGATCCAACTGTGATGAGCCTATGTATGACAAGTTGATGGAGGCCCTTTGTGCTGGACACCAACTCAACTTAATTAAGGTTGATGACAATAAGAAACTAGGTGAATAGTTAGGCCTCTGAAAAACTGACAGAGGGAAAACCCCTTCAAGTGATTGGTTGTGTAGTAGTTAAGGACTACAGCAAAGACTCAGGCCAAGAACGTCATCAAAGAGTACTTCAAATCCAAGAAAAAACTTGGCTCTCCAAAAAAAAAAAAAAAAAAAGAAAGAAAGAAAATGGTAATGAAATTCTCACGCTCCTGAAGGAGTATCTTCTGTACAGGGCCTTCTGAGCTAGCCTAAAGGATTCAATCTCTGCATAATTAGCAACTCTAAGCAGTGCCTTCTTCTTCTAAACCTAGAAAAAGGAGGATCTGAGGCCCTCTAGAGTCAGCCCTTAGCCAACATAAGCCCATCCATGCCAAGACCATCTTCAGTGAAGCCCCTAATCTCAGGCAGATCACATCATATTCTATACCTGCCAAAAATCTTTCCTGATAGTTCTCCTGTTTCTTCTTAGGGTCTCAAAAGGACTCCTTTTGGAGACAGTAGTCCCTCCCAGGAGGAAAAAAAAACCTCTGACCATCAGACTGATTAACAATGTTCTAAGAATCCAAAGGCCCTTTCCCCCTTTTTCTCCCCTATCTTTCCTTTTGAGAAATTTCAAACCTATCGGAAAGTTGAAAGAATAGTAGAATAGTACAATGTATACATACATTCTTCAGCTAGAAAGCTATCATTTTGCAATATTTGCTTTTCTTTCTCTCTACACACACACACACTCTCTCTCTCTCTCTCACTCTCTCTTTCCTTTTTACTTAACTATTTAACAGTAAGTTACAGACTAAATAATGTTTCATGCACTTAAAAAAAATTTTTTTTTTTTTTAAAAGATGACCGGTAAGGGGATCTTAACCCTTGACTTGGTGTTGTCAGCACCACGCTCAGCCAGTGAGCGAACCAGCCATCCCTATGTGGGATCCGAACCCGGGGCCTTGGTGTTATCAGCACCGCACTCTCCCGAGTGAGCCACAGGCCGGCCCATGCACTTAAAAATTTAAGAGGGTAAATCTTAAGTGTTCTTACCACAATATAAATAAGTAAATAAAATTTAAAAAGTTGCAGACATTTACAACATTTCACTCCTAAATACTTGAGCACATTTACAAGAAAATCCTCCTATAGAACAATACCATTAAAAAAAAAGGAAGAATACCATTATCAAACTGAAGCAATTAAACAGATACAATGTTAGCTGATACAAGGTATCCAATTGTCCCAATAGTTTGTCCTTAATAGTTTTTTCTCCCAATTGAGGATCCGATCACAGATCACACATTGCCTTTGTTCATCTTTTTAGTTTCCTTTAGTGTAGAACAGTTTTCTGTCCTTTTTGTTTTTCATGGCATTAACTTTGAAGAGTCTGAGCCAGTTTCCTTGTAGTATGTTCTAAAATCTGGATTTGTCTGGTTTGTTTCTCATCATTAGATTCAGATTTTAAAACTGGCAACATACGACACTTCATCACATCAGGAGGCATACAATGTTCCATTGTCCATTATTGTTGATACTAAGTTTGATCACTTGGTAAGGAGGTATCCACCAAATCTCTTGCTGGCCATGCTTTGCAATGGTCAAAGGGCCTTAAGCCCAAATAGTGACCTATTTTGTCCTCCTGTTTTGTGAGTTCCTCCTCACCTCTTAGAAGGTGACATGGTATTCTTGAGATGGACAGAGGCCAGGTCAAAAGGAGTATACTAGGTCCACAGGAGCATTTACAGAAACTCCATCTGAAATCTTCCTAAAGTCCAGTATTTCACTGTCAGACTTAGCACAGATTATCCAGGTCAGAATACTTGCTGGAGTGCTCTGTGATGGTACAGGGACCAGCAAAGGCTTCTTAAGACAGAAACACTAGATTGGACTCAATCTCTGGGAAGTCCCACTGCCATTCCTGGCTTCTTACTAGACATGAAGAACATGTCACTGGCTGGTGAGTTCTGATGCCCTACTCCTTTGGACTGGTAATACTAAGATACAGTCCAAAAACGTTCAGGGAGTAGTGTTATGTGTTTCAATCTCCAATTTATATGCAGTGAATTTCCAGGAAAACCTGGTACAGAAACCCTATACTTTTCATCTGCCTTCCTCAGCCACCATCAATCTTTATGAAAGGCCAGGATCTAGTGGCTACAATGTCAACTCAAGTTACCCTTTCCTGTAAAATTATGCCACCATTTGGTACAAGGAATCACAAGTAGATGGCACAAAGCCAACATGTGAGTGCCAGATCAGCTTACCTTGTGTACCAATGTAAGCATTCTTCTGCTTGTAGCCATCCATGAAACTGGCATTGATGTAATCTGTCTGATGATAAAAAGGAAACATCATTGCAGTTGTATGAAATATGCCATCTGGTTCAGAAAATGGTGTACAGTTGGCCCTCTGTATCCATGGGTTCCACATCATGGATTCAACCAATATTCAGGCGGAAAAAATTCCACAAAGTTCCAAAAAGTGAAACTTGAATTTGCCACATGTCAAATCCAAGGAAATGAAGTGATGTGTAGGTACTATTGTATTAGATAAGATAAGTAACCTAGAGATAATTTAAAGTATATGGGAGGATGTGAATAGGTTATATGCAAATACTACACCATTTTTTATAAATGATTTGGGCATCTGTGGACTTTGGTATCCATAGGGGGACCTGAAACCAATCCCTGACAGATACCAAAAGATGACTATGCTAGGCAAGAACAACCCAAGGTATGACTATTCTCGTCAGGAAGGAAATGAGGAGTGAAAGGGCTAATTCAAAATCTCACTTCGACAAATGGAGGCTGGGACAACTAAGATACCTGCATGAAGAAAAAAATCAAGCTGACCCCCTCCTCACACTACACACAAAAATTAACTCAAAATGAATCACAGCCCTAAAGTAAGAGATTAAAGCTATAAAACTCTTAGAAGAAAATATAGGAGTAAATCTTTGTGATCTTGGGTTAGGCAAAACCTTCTTAATGTGACACCAAAGGCACAAGCAACAAAAGAAAAGAGGTACATTGAACTACATTAAAAGGTTTTGTGTTTCGGGCCGGCCCGGTGGCGCACTGCTGTAGTGCGCCGCTTGGGAAGCGCGGCGGCGCTCCCGCCGAGGGTTCGGATCCCACATACAGACCGGTTCCCGCTCACTGGCTGAGCGAGGCGCAGGAGCGATGCCGAGGGTTGCGATCCCGTTGCCGGTCCCGGTCCGGTACGGGGGCGACACTGAGGGTTGCGATCCATTGCCGGACACGGAAAAAGACAAAAAGGAAAAAAAAAAAAGGTTTTGTGTTTCAAAGGAAACCATTAAGAAAGTAAAAAAAAAGCCAGGGCTGGCCAGTTAGCTCAGTTGGTTAGAGTGTGTTGTTATAACATCAAGGTCAAGGGTTCAGATCCCTGTACTGGCCAGCCACACAAAAAAAACAACAACAAAAGTAAAAAAACAACCCACAGAATGCATATATTTGATAAGGGACTTATTATCTAGAATACATAAAGAACTCTTACGCTCAATAATTAAAAGACAAATAACCCAATTTGAAAATGGACCAAAGAGATGAACAGACATTTCTTCAAAGAAGATATAAAAATGGCCTATATGTATGTAAAAAGATGTTCAACATCATTAACCATGAGGGAAATGCAAATCAAAATCACAATGAGATACCACTTCACACCTACTAGGATGGCTATATGTAAGAAAAATAGGGGGATGGGGGTAAAAAAAAAAAAAAGAAAAATAGATTGTAACAAGTGCTGGCAAGGATGTGTGTACCTTTCCACTAGAGGAAAATAACACACGTCCACACAAAGACTTGTATATGAAAATTCATAGCAGTATTATTCATAATAGCCAAAAAGTGGAAACAAACAAAACGTCCTTCAAATGATGAATGAATAAAATGCAGTATTATCCATACAACACAATATTATTTGGCAATAAAAAGGAGCAGTGGGATGATACATGCTATAACATGGATGAACCTTGAAAACATTATGCTAAGTGAAAGAAGCCAGACACAAAAGGCCACATATTGTATGATCTCTTTTTTATGAAATGTCCAGAAAAGGCAAATCTGTAGAGATAGAAAACTGATTAAGGCAAATAGGGTTGGCTGGTTAGCTTAGGTGGTTAGAGCGCAGTGTTACAACACCAAGGTCAAGGGTTCAGATCCCCTTACCAGCCGCCAAAAAATAAAGGAAAATGGGGCATGACTGCCATGGGTATGGGATTTCCTTGGGGCGGGGGGAGAAGGGGGTGATAAAAATGTTCTAATGCTGATTGTTGTGATGGTTGTACAACTCTGTGAATACATTAAAACCAATGACTTGTACACTTTAAGTGGGCAAATTATACGGTATGTGAATTATATTTCAACAAAGCTATTTTTTTTTTCCCCTTTTTGTCTTTTTTCGTGTCCGGCAACGGATCGCAACCCTCAGTGTCGCGCCCGTACCGGACCGGGACCGGCAACGGGATCGCAACCCTCGGTGTTGCTCCCACACCTCGCTCAGCCAGTGAGCGGGAACCGGTCTGTATGTGGGATCCGAACCCTCGGCGGGAGCGCCACCGCGCTCCCAAGCGGCGCACTGTAGCAGTGCGCCACCGGGCCGGCCCAACAAAGCTATTTTTTACAAAAAAAAAGTCATTAGGACTTGCAGCACTATAGCTTGGAATCAAATTGGAGGCAAGCCAAGCAACCTGAACAGGAACATTCCATCCATCCTGCCACACACAAAAGGTAAAGTGTGACTGTAGAAGGAAGAAAACTATACCTCATATATAGGACCATCAACAGGATGGGCCAAACACCCAGACTCTTTTACTACCTGAATTAACACAAAGTAACTTCCAGCCAAATTCAAAGGAGTCTCAATGAACAGCTCCTGACTTCCTCTCTTCCAGGGTCTGTCTTCTCCCATCTCCTAATGGGAGATTATTTATTATTATACCTCCTCACAAGATCTTGCCAACATCCTTTAATCCAGGCTGATAAAAGAGAAACACTAGGGCCGGCCCCGTGGCACACTCGGGAGAGTGCAGCGCTGGGAGCGCAGCGACGCTCCCGCCACGGGTTCGGATCCTATATAGGAATGGCCAGTGCACTCACTGGCTGAGTGCAGTGCGGGTGACACCACACCAAGGGTTGTGATCCCCTTACCGGTCACGTAAAAAGACCAAAAAAAAAAAAAAAGTGACATATTTATTCTGGAATTTGTTGATCAGTCCATTTTATTGTACTATGGACTTCCTACTATGAAGATAAGGATATAGTTGAGAGTTGAATGGATAGAGGAGGGTACAAAGGGTTGCAGAACAAAAGAAAAAAACTTTCAATATCAAACTTGGGTAAACCCATATTCTACTCCACTCTAGAGGGGTTAGAATGACTATTTCCTCAACCCATCACCCTTTCTCCAGTGGGTCCTATCACTTAGAGGGCAGTCTGAACTACTGGTACGCCACAGCCACTCTCATAAGACACCTCCACTTCATGGTCAAACCCATGTTACTTGGATATATGTTAATTAGCCAGTCAGTCTACCAACTTATCATTCCACTATTTTAGTCAAGAGTTTCCTGCCCTTCCTTCTTTCCATAGCAGCTAGTATTGACCTCATACTACTAGTGTGCTACCTTGACTCAGACAGCTCACTGAACTAATGAACCATCTGCAGCAGATTCAGCAAGCTAAAAAGCCTCATTTACTCCCAGCGAGGCTTCTCAATCTGGGCCCACCAACAGTCAGCCAAACCCCATCCTCTGCTCAGCTAGGCATGTTCAAGTACTACACTCTCTAGGATCCAGGGGAAAAGACAAAGAAAAGTACAGAAGATTTACCTGTTATATGCCAATAAACACTATTATATAAGTAATATATAAGCTGTTACCCCAGGAACTATCTTCACGCTTTGAAAAGAAATGTCACCTCTTTAAAGGAGACTTATTATTACTTTATAACTAAGGATATACCTGCTTTCATCATACTTGTCTATGAGAGCACTGGGAATTAAAATCACCAATTTCAGAAGAATCATTGGATATTAAAACTGAAAATGACTTCAGAAACAAAGTATGGACTTGGGGGCAAACTGAAATAGCAGAAGAGAACCAAACCAAGCGTACTATGTTATGGGCTTCGTGAATTTTGTGGTCACCCCCACCCAAAGTGATGGTATTAGGACATGGGGCCTTTGGTAGGTGATTAAGTTTTGAGAACCATGAAGATGGAGCCCTCATGAATGGGATTCGTATCCTTATAAAAGAGAACTCTCAAGAGCTCCCTCACTCCTTCTGTCATGTGAAGACACAATGAGATCTATAAAACAGGAAAAGGACCTGCACCAGACACCAAATCTGCCAGTGCCTTGATCTTGGACTTCCCAGCCTCCACAACAGTGAGAGATAAATTTCTGTTGTTTATAAGCCACCCAGCCTATGATATTTTTGTTAAAGCACCCTAAATAGACTAAGACAGCCATGATCAATAGAAACTGTGACTAATAGCTTTAAAATTCCAGGAGAAAATCAGGTGAACAATTCACTAATAAATCTGAATCCTCCAAATAATAAGGTGTTGTATATTTGAAAATTGCTAACAGAGTAGATTTTAAGTGTTTTCACCACAAAAAAATGGTAAGTATGTGAGGTAATACATATGTTAACTAGCTTGATTTAACCATTCCACAATGTATACATATTTCAAAACATTATATTGTACACCATAAATACATACAATTTTTATTTGTGGATATAAATAAATGAATGAATGAATAAATGAATGTCAAGGAAAGAAATGAGAAAAAAATAGCCCCAAAGGTAGAAATACCATGATAGTATTATGTCCCTGAAGCTAAATAAATAATTTAATGTGAAAAAAAAAAAAAAAAAGAAAACCCAAAACAAATAACCTGAATCCTCCATTTACTGTGGAAATAAAGCTTCTGCCAATGTTTGCAATAATAAGAGGGACTACAAGTCAGGTAATGATCTTCAGATTAACTATAGGATGACTAGAATAGTCTTCCTGTACACTGGGATTCACCCATTTACAAATATTTCCTGAGTGTCTGAAACATGCCAGGTACTGTTTTAGGTATTAGCAACAGAGAAGTCAACAAAACAAATAAATACAGATATAACTGATTCTAAAACCCCAACTCAGCCACTGCATTACATTCCTTCAGGGCATATACTAACAATCTCAGCAGTACTGATGAATTTACCCTAAGCTAGCCAGACTCTTAGCTAATATACCTGCAGGAAAACCCTCTGCAAGGGTCTGGGACAGGAGTATGAATTCAGTTTATGTGCTTGACACAGGAGGGTCAAGAGACTGAAACCATGATCCTAGGGTCCCAACCCACACATCATTTGTGTCCAAAAATTATCCCCAGAAATTTTGGGATTTTTCCAAAAATTATCCCCCCAGAAAAAGAGGGGGAAATATAACAAGTCCTTATAAAGTGCATCATGTTAAAGAGGCACTATTTAAATTTCTTCACTTTGAGAACAGCTACCTCAATCAATGTTGTTATTTTGATGCTTATAGAAGTCACCAGAAAAACTGAAAGGAATTAAAAAAAGAAATGTTATACCATAGGTATTACATCATCTCAAAATTCTAAGGATGGATGTTGCTGTAAACAAGTTATGTCAAAGAGAACATTAAAAATGAATAAATGAACATTATAAAGAAAGCATGAGGTACAGGATGAATGAGAAAAAAAAACTATCCTAAAAGTCTTTTCTGGTTTAGGATATACTTTCCAGTGACAATACCATGCACTTAAAAGGAAATAAAGATGATGTGCTCTGGAAAACTGTGTTAGACTGACTCAAAAAGTGGCTCAAATGGTGACAAAAAAACTGACATTAAAGGTACATGTGAAGAGTTTGAATAAAGTTTTCACTAAATATCTCTATTAATACATTACATATGTGATTTTTAATATTTATGGGTATAATCAAATTACTATATTAAATAATATAGTAATTTGACCATTTCTTCTCTATCCCTAGACATTTACCTATCACTAGTTGTCAGATATAGATGGAAAAGTCAGAGGTCACTTATAATCAAAGTTGCCTTTTGCATCGATACACACATACACTCACCAACTGAGCTGGACTATATGACCATGACTTTACAACTAAGGAGTAAAAGGGGAAATAATATTTATCAAGCACCTACAATATACCAGACCTTCTGCTATCAGCAGTCACATAAAGAATTTTGTTTAATTTTGACTCAGTACTGTGAGATGGGCATTTAGGGACTTGCCTGTGGTCTCAGAGAAGTATGTAGCAAAATCAGACCTCAAACCTTATATCTCTGGCTTCAGAGTCCATTTTCATTCCACTATAGTATAAGCAAGGTTCATTTTGGAAGATGCTCAGTTTCCCTCAGTACTCCTAAAACGATGGCATTTATCTGTCTACCTGAGTGTGGCCACTTCGTTTTGTCAGCTTCACTCTAGTTTGGTCCAGGCAGGGTACATCCCCGTAGCGGTTCTTCTCTAGGTTTCCTGGAGACCTGAAGGAAATGAAACAGACAAACTAGAATAAAGGAAAACTGGAGGTAGTGTGTATGTGTATGTACAAAGTCTGACAATGCAAAGGTAGGTGTCAATTACTGTTAGGGGTGAAGATATGGGAGCTTTTCACTTTCCAGTCTATATAGTTCCATATCATTTAACATTTTTAATTGTAAGCATGTATTACTCATGGAAATAAAGTTATTTCCATTTAAAAGAGAGAGGGAGCCCTGAATGGATTAAGAAATTGATGCTGAGAAGTGGTTTGCTGCTATAAAAAAAAATACCTAAAAACATAAAAGCAGCTTTGGAACTGGGTAACAGACAAAAGCTGGAAGAATTTGAAGATACATGCTTGAAAAAGCCTACCTTGTCATGAACATTAAGGACAATTCTGTTAAGGGCTTAGAAAAGCCTCAGTCTTCTTAAAGATTACCTAAGTGGTTGTGATCAGAATGTTGGTAAAAATATGGAATGGTAAAGGCCATTCTGATGAGGTCACAGATGGAAATGAGAAGCATGTTAAAACACAGAGAGGAAGGAAGAGAAATGGGGTACAGCACCAAAAAAATCTAGCTGTAGATAAAAATGTTTACTATTCATGTCTCAAAAAATGTTCAAAATAAATCTCTTAAGTTCCAGTTTAACATGGTGGCTTGACAACTCTACCCACTCTACTCAGTAGCATCACTAAAATGACGATAAACAAAGTATTCAGTACAAGCCCAAAAAGTGACAGTGGAGACATCAGCAAAGAGATTTCAAACCACTTTAGCAGAGAGAAAGCAGATGGAAGGATTTTGGCTGACATTTGACCAAATGAGGGAAGATAGGACCCAGGGAGGTACCTACAGAGAGACAAAATGACTCACCCTCAAAACTCCCACACCCTAGAAGGCAAGGTGAGGCACAGAGCTAAAAACAGAGAAATAAATGGAAATTTAACTGATATACAATAAGAATCCCTGCCCCATTCTCACTGTCCTGTTTTACACTCATATCCAGTCTTAGATTCCACCAGGCAAGAGACTGTAGAACTCTTCTCTGGACAAAATGAGTAAGTCCCAGGTAAAAGAATTCTGTCATTTGGAGCATACCAAGAACAAGCCAGCCACGTGATCATTTTAATTTGAAGCTCATCCACGCAAACAGAGTTTCCAAGCATCTTTTAAGAACCCTATTCCTGAGTGTGAACTAACAGCCAAGGATCTCCAGATAATTAAGAAAAGCCCATAACACAAGGAACCAACTCAAATACACAGGGGGGAAAAAAGCACAAAAGAGAGTCAATAAGAGAAAAATGACTTCTAAAAGGCTATAATTCATATCCTCAAAGAGGGAAGAGACGATACTGCTATACATGAAACAAGAACAGGATGCTATGAAAAAGGAATGATCAAAGAAGAAAAATTCTTGGAGGGGCCGGCCCGGTGGGGCACTGCTACAGTGCGCCACTTGGGAGTGCGGCGGCGCTCCCGCCGAGGGTTCGGATCCCACATACAGACCGGCCGCTCACTGGCTGAGCGAGGTGCGGGCGCAACACCGAGGGTTGCAATCCCGTTGCCGGTCCCGGTCCGGTACGGGCGCGACACTGAGGGTTGCGATCCGTTGCTGGTCACGAAAAAAGACAAAAAGGAAAAAAAAAAAAGAAAAATTCTTGGAAATTAAAAATAATATCCAAAATGGGAACTTCAACAGAAGAGGCAGAAGAGAAAGTTGAGAAAATTTCCCAGAATACAAAACAAAAAGCAGTCATAAAAAGTATGAGAAAATTTAAGAAAACAAGAGAAACATTCTAGGACATAAGTAAGCAAACTATGGCCTGGCCTAGCCTGTTTTTGTACATAACGTTTTATTACAACACAGACAAGCCCATTTATTTATGTACTCACTAAGTACATATCGACAGTGTTGAGTACTTGCAACAAATACCGTAAAGTCCACAAGTCTAAAATATTTACTATCTTTCCCTTTAAGAAAATGTTTGCCAATCCCTACCCTAGGAGATCCAACCAGACTGACAGGAATATGAGAGAGAGGGGGAGAGAGAACACTAATGCAAGGAAAGCACAAAAAAAAAATAATGTAAAAAAAAAGTCCTAGAATTGAAGAACATAAGCCTTCAGATTAAAAGAACCTATCAGGGGCTGGCAGGTTAGCTCAGTTAGTTAGAGTGCAGTGTTGCAATACCAAGGTCGAGAGTTCAGAGCCCTGTACAGGCCAGTGGCCAACCTCTCCCCTCCCCCCAAAAAGAACCTATCAACATAATGGAAAAGAACCAACACAACGGAAAAAAGGACCCACACCAAGGCACGTCATTATGAAATTTTTTAACATAAAGTGATGTTATCTTAAAATGTGGCAGTGGGAGGGAACAGGTCATTTAAAAGAACTGAGAAGGAATAAGAATAACATCAGATTATTCATAGCATAGCTAGTAATGAGAAAGGTACTGCCTTAAAAATTCTGAGGTAAAATTATTTCCAACCTAGAATCTATGCTCTAGGAAAATGAAATATAAGTAAAGAAAGAAGATACAGGACCAGGAAACAAGATCCACAAAAGAAAGATGGAAAATTGCAGGATGAAAGCTGAGGAGCAGACCTAGAGAATAACCAACCACAGGTTAGAGTGAAGCAAAAGAACGAAAAGTTCTGGAAGTGAGGTCTCCAAGAGAAAAAATGGAATCAATTAATTATCTGATATATGTGACCACTTGGAAAAATAACAATAATAGTGTAAAATAAATCTGAAAAAGCACATAGAAAAATAATGATGATAGTTACATAGAAAACTAAAAGCAAATGAAAAAATTAGGTAATTAACTCCAGAAGAAACAAAAAATTGGAATAGATAAGATTATTTCATATTTTTGATCATTTCATAGTATCCCACCTACCTCTACAGTAAAAAAAAAATTTACATTGTCACAATAATGTAAATAATGACATTGATTCAATAAAAATTTGTGACATATAATTATACTGGAAAAATAGTCAAAAGGAAAGTAGAGACATGTTATATGAGCTAAATGCTCACCTACAATAAAAATCAGTAAAGAGTATTATACATAGAATTATGGAAGAAATACCAGGAGGAACAGCTACAAGAGTTGAAAATGAATCACAGACAATGGAACTGAGAGCAACGTAGGATATTACTATTTATTTTGTCATTGCTTTTTTCTTTAGTACTATTTGGTTTTGAAAATCATTTGCATATATTATTGATTCAAAGCAAAAAAAAAAAAGAACAATTACAAAGACCAAATACTACTTTATATTCATGGGTACGTATGTACATGTAATAATATAAACCAAATGAACTGGAAAGAAAAATACCATATTCATACTAGTAGCTGCATGTGGGGAGAACTGAGGGTGAGGATTAGAAGGGATTTCAACTTTATAGTGAATTCTTTCTTTAACATAATAAAGACTTGAAGGAAATATGACAAAATATTAACAATTGTCAGTGTCAATTCTGGTGATAGGAACGTAGTTAGTTGTTTGTTGTGTCATACTCTGTACTTTTCTGTGTCTTAAAAAAACTCCCCCCTTCCCATACAAATATGCCCAGCTGATTTTTTACAAATTGGCAAAGACAATTCAATGGGAATTGTCAACAAATGGTGTTTTCAAAAAATTGTGCTAGAGCCATTTCAACAAATGGTGCTGGAGCAAGTAGACATCCATAGTCAAAATAAATGAACATCGGGCCGACCCCGTGGCGCACCCGGGAGAGTGCGGCACTGGGAGCACAGCCGCCGTGGGTTCGGATCCTATATAGGGATGGCCAGTGCGCTCACTGGCTGAGCGCGGTGTGGGCGACACCAAGCCGAGGGTTGCGATCCCCTTACCGGTCAAAAAAAAAAAGACAAAAATAAATAAATACATAAATAAATAAATAAATGAACATCAACTAGACTGTATACAAAAATTAATTCAAAATGGATCACAGACTTAAATGTAAAATATAAAACCATAAAACTTAAAAAACAAAACAAAAACAGGAGAAGAATGGCCTGTTAGCTCACTTGGTTAGAGCACAGTGTTATAATAAGGTAAAAAGTTCGGATTCCCATACAGGCAAGCTGCAAAAAAAAACAACAATAGGAGAAAATCTTTGGAATCTAGGGCTAGGCAAAGTGTTCTTATACTTTGCACCAACAGAATGATCTGTAAAGGGAAAAATTGATAATTGGGACTTCATCGATATAAAAAAATTCGCTTCACAAGAAAGCTTGTAAACAAGATGAAAAGAGGGCAGGCTGGTTAGCTCACTTCAGAAAGTACGGTCCTGGTAACACCACAGTCAAAGTCTGATCCCCTTACCCACCAATTGCCAAAAAAAAAGATAAAAAGACAAGCTACACCCAATTGGTTAGAGAACAGCCTTATAACACCAAGGTCACAGGTTCGGACCCCTGTACCAGCCAGCCACCTCCCCCTACCCCCCAGCAAAAAAATGAACACACTGAAAAGACAAGCTACGGACTGGAAGAAAATACTTGCAAACCACAAATCCAATAAAGAACCAATATCTAGAATATATAAGGAACTGTCAAATCTTAACAGTTTAAGAAAAGGGCAAAAAACATGAAAAGACATTTTATGAAGAGAATATATAGATGATAAATAAGCACAAGAAAAGATGTGTTGACATAATTCAATAGGCATTAGAAAAGTGCACATGAAAACCACAATGAGGGCTGGTCAGTTAGCTCAGTTTATTGGAGCATGGTGCTGATAACACCAAGGTCCAGGGTTCGATTCCTGTACCAGCTAGACACCCCTCCCCCCAAAAAAACCACAGTGAGATCTCATTACACACCTATCAGAATAGCTAAAATAAAAAATAGTGACACCAGCAAATGCTGAGTAAGGATGCAAAGAAACCGGATTACTCATACATTGCTGGTGGGAATGTAAAATGATACAGCTGCTCTGGAAAACAGCTGGGCAGTTTTTTATAAAAACTAAACATAGAAGGGGCTGGCCAGTTAGCTCACAAGGTCAAGGGTTGGGATCCACAAAAAGGCCAGCTGCAAGGGCCGGCCCGGTGGCGCACTGGATAAGTGCGCCGCTTGGGAAGCGCGGCGGCGCTCCCGCCCGAGGGTTCGGATCCCACATACAGACCGGTTCCTGCTCACTGGCTGAGCAAGGCGCGGGGGCAACGCCGAGGGTTGCAATCCCGTTGCCGGTCCCCGGTCTGGTACGGGGGCAACACTGAGGGTTGCGATCCGTTGCCGGACATGGAAAAAGACAAAAGACACACACACACACACACACACAAAAAAAAAAAAAAAAAAAAGGCCAGCTGCAAAAAAGCCCACTAAACTAAACATACAATTACCACTGATTGACCTAACAATTGCATTCCTGGGCATTTATCCCAGAGAGACGGAAACAGATTCACACAAAACCTAGACACAAATGTTCATAATGGTTTTATTTGTAATAGCCAGGAACTGAAAACAACCCAGATGTCCTTCAACAGGTTAATGGTTAAACAAGTTGTGGTACGTCCATACCACAGAATACTACTCAGCAATAAAAAAGAACCAAATATTGATACACGCAACAATGATTCTATTTATATAACAACACTCTGGAAAGAACAAAATTATAGAAATAGAGAACACATCAGTGGTTGCAAGGGTTAGGGATGGGGAGGTGGTAGGGAGGAGGTATATGTTTATTAAGGGGAAACAGGAGGGAAGCCTATGGTGATAGAACTCTGTATCTTGACTGTGGTGACAGACATGTAAACCTGCATGTGTGACAAAATGACACAGAACTAAATACACGCAAAGTAACACTGAGAAATCAGAATAAGATTGGTGGACTGTTATCAATGTCAACATCCTGGTTGTGATATTATCCTGTAGTTTCAAAAGATGTTACCATGGGGAAACTATAGAAAGGGTACATGTCATCTGTCTATACTATTTCTTAAAACTGCATGTGAATCTATAATTATCTAGTTGTAAAAAATTTAATTTAAAAAAATCTTAAAAATGGTGTAGGAGAGAAGAAAAAAGGTAAGCAAAGTTTCTTGGTCCATGGGAATCCTGAGCAACAGTGAATATTCTGATATCTACTTCATAGTCCAAAATTCCAAGGGAGACATAGTTTGTTCTGTGTAAGTAGTTTTACTGGGACTTAATGTAGGGCAGAGGCTTGGAACTGATGAGGATTCTGGGTTCTAGATAATGAAGTGGGGGCTCAATTGTTCAATAAAGAGGCCAGACTGGGAAGTCCTCTCATCAGACTGGGATGTATTCTCTGATTGTCACATGGCAGCTGGTTTGGATGCTGCCAAGAGGACAATCCAAACCCGCTTTTTTAGTTGGGGAGCAGGTGGGGAGGCACAGTAGAAATGATATCTCAAGGACCTCACAGCAGTGGGTAATTGCAAAAGCACCAAGATCAAGGTCAGGAACCCCCAGGATAAGTGTTCATCCTTTTGGATCAGCCTAGCATTCCTCCCTGCTCCAAGGTACTTCCTTGATTCAAGACTGCAGGGGGAAAACTGCTCTGGTTGGGAAACAGATTAGATATAAAGAGTGGTCTGGAGCTGGTGTGGGAGAAAAGAATACTCCCCCATCTTGATAGGCTCTGCTTTCCCTTTTTCTCCTCTTTCCTTTGCATTCTTGCTCAGCTTCTTGGCTTCTTCCTCAATTGCCTCCTTTCTTAACTTCCCTTATCTCAGTTTCCTAACTTATTATTTTCTCTCTTTCCTTTGCTAAAAGACTCTCTCCCTGCACCTTCTTCACAGCACATTGACAAAACTAAACAGGAATTAGGAAGGAAAAGAGGTACTCACAGAATCATGGATTCCTAAAATATTTAAGCTACAAAGGTAGGTGGATATCAGAGTCCAACAGTCACATATTCACACAGGAAAACTGATGTGCAGAGAAGGGAGATAACTACTGTCACTCACAGAGGAGATTTTTGGCTAAGTTCGAACTTGTGCCTGGGACCCACTGGGACAGCTTCCCTAATTTTCAACAGACAGAACTCACTGGTTAGAAAGAGATATCTGCTGCAGCCAATTAAAACATGGAAAGAGAAATGAGAGCAACATGTAAGAGAAATGATCTATGCTCTATTGCCAACAATAGTTATCAAGTAGTTATGAACCAGAGTTATAAACTAGCCAGACTGCTTTGTGGTAGGATTTAGGCAGAAGGAAAATCCCAAGAGATTAAATTCCTAAGAGGCAATTCTTCTTGCTTATTGACTGTGGATTATTAAATGCACCCAGCACTGGTCCTTAAGATATAACATTATACTATAAATGCTTTCCTAGGAAGAAATTCCTCAAATGAACAGACCAGAGCTCACAGGAATAAAGCAGCCCATTTTGAAGTTACAACTTTTGTTTTTAACACTTGCATTTCAGGAAATGTCCAAAAAATATGCCTGTTAATACAGGGTTCCCTTGTTGGTACCAAAGACCTTCAGAAATTTCAGAGGATAGGGTGGGTGTTGACAACAAGCACTAAAGCAGGAGGTAGCTATTTCTGAATGAGAGAAACCATCATTTAAGTGAGAATGATGCTCCTTAACACAAGAGTGAGCTTCTGTTAAGGAAGTGAGGTGTAGAAGGACCCATTTCCAGCACTTGATGGAAGCATCTTGGTAACCGACTGCTGGCCCAAACCTTTCTACTTACATGGAACAGTGGAAAGTGCCAACAGGGTTCTCTCGACGGATGTCTTCATACTCCTCATATATCCCCCGCTTTTGCCTGGTGTTAACATAGTCCACCAACTCTTGGATGGTCATAGCGTGGGGACCTGGAACATGTACCGAGTCCCTGTCTAAGGCAGGAGGGAGGGAGAACAGGATGATCTCATCAAAGGGATCTGGGTGGCCGTTCACCTGGGGTAGGAACTGGAAGTTCCAAGTGGCGAGGTCAATTTTGACGTACCCACCCAGGTTTTCTGGAAGGCACTCCCTGGGCAGGTGCTGGGTGACCTCAGATGTCTTTAATATCTGAATCTGGAAGATCAGAAAGAACCACGTGAGTATGTGGGGAGAAAAAGGCATAAAGATAGTGATGATAAAGAATAAGTGTACTTATATTAGGTTTGGGGAATAAGATGAGATTTGATTGAAATGCTAGGTATACTTGTAAAAGAAGTAGACTGTTTCACCTGCCTGGGATTGAAGTCCTATGAATTTCCCAGATTAAAGTTTGCATGCCCAGAATGTATATCAAATTCACTCCTGGAATTAGGAGCCCTGTTATATACCTTCTGAAAGGAAGGTATAGTGGACAAAGGTTTTATACTATTAGCAAGACTTCCCAGTACTATTTCATGTGGGTACTCTTTTTTTTTTGACCACTAAAAATGCATAGGTAGTGGTTATTTTTGTCAACCCCATACTAAGGCAACCAACTCTAGACCTGTTAGCTTGTGGTTTATGCATAGCTTGGTATGGCTGTTCTCAGAGTTTTCCATGAAAGCTAGGTACAACCAGCCACCTAAAGGCAGGATAGCCCAGAAAAATGCTAGATAATAATCATAATACTTCTGCTCTCTGCTTGGACACAACCATGCTGGACCAAAATAGCCCAGTTGGTTCTCCTTAGAATGTTTTGGGTTTGTTTGTTTGTTTGTTTGTTTTAGGAGTACTATTCCTCCTAAAAGCTTGTCTCTTACTGTTGTCTCTTCTCGGAATGCCCTCTTTAGTCAGCTAATAGCTGACCTCTTCCATGAAACCCTTCCTGACTGGCCGAGGCAGTATATTCCTCAGTCCTGAAGTCCTCTCACATGTGTATTTTTGTGTTTCCTATTAGTACCATGAGCTTCTCAAGGGTAAGGACTATCCCACTCAATTTTCAATTCTGTAAAAGGTGCTCAGTATATTTTACGTTTATACATGTATGTATAAATCCTACAATTCAAGTGCAAGGACTTGCCTAACGAATCCTCTTAAAGAGTTATCTTAGGAAAGATGTCTCTTGCTTTGAGTTATTAGATCTCTAAGCAGCTTCCATAGAACCAAATAGCTTCACTTTTCCCTCTCAAACTCAATTCACCTCAGCTATAAACATCTGATTATTCATTTAACTTCATAATTCCTTACCACAAAAATCTCTGATAATATTTCAAAAGACCATCTTTATTATCTTACCCTATTATGCCAATGTTTCATATGCCCTTTCTTTCAAGGGCTGCAATCAGTGACTGAGATCATAATCTTTCAGTCTTGGAACACTCAGGAGTTATAATAGAATTAAGGTAATTTTGGACAACACTTTTGAAATGGGAAGCAACAAGCTGTTTTAAGAAAAAATGCCAAGAGTGAAAGTAGAAAGAAATAGTGAGAGATTCTCCTCTTCCACTCTGGTGGTCAAAGGGACTGAATGGATTTCCAATTGAACAAATTCAAATCCAGTTCAACTAAAGCAATTATATTAAAAGCTGTTAAATATTAAAGGCCTGCGCAGCACTAAGCTAAGTTTTGGAAATAGCAACCATCCCTAAATCACCTCCAGCACACATTCCTTCAATACTACCCTATTCAAGGGGCTGTGAAGAGGGAGAGCCAAATAAACCATGTTCAGTTCCTAAGTTCAAGAAGTTTATAGGACAATGAGAGGCAGTCTGTACCAAGCTGACTAATGAATATAGTACAGAATATGAGTGAATACACTAAAAGAAGCAAAAAGCGTTCTAGGAGACAAGCCAGGAGGATTTTTTTGAAGGTAGAAAATTAATTGGCAGGATTTCACCAGCAGCAACCTCCAGATATGAAAAGCTAGTTTGCCTTACCCTCTCCCGGACTTTGTCCTTCAGGAGGAGGCTGATGATGGAATAGGGCACTCGGAACCATATGGGTGCTCCCACAATCAGCACCTTTTTCAAACGAGCTGGAAACGCTCCCTGTAGAGAAAACGTATGAGGATTTAAGACTTAATGGGACTTCTGACTGTTCAAGCCCAATGTTTAAGTTTTCTGCTCTTCTCCCCATTCTTACCCAGCAGGGGGAGTCTACAGCCTAATTCAGATTTCACCTCAGTAGCTAGAGGAAAAGTGGTTAAGAGAATAAAGAAACTAGAAGCTGATTTATCTTTATAAATAATGATGTTACAATTCATTTCAATCAGAACTTTTATCAGTCAAACCTATTTTGACTTTTCTTATTAGCAGTTATCCTACACATGCCATACATCAGCACACATATATGCATCCTTAAGAAGTTCTGCTTATTAAAATTTAAAGGAAAATTAGATTATGAAAAAACTGAACATTAAGGAAACATTTCTCTTTCATAACCTTTCATTTAGTCTGATATCTGTGTATGAGGGTATTTCAAAAGTTCACAGAAAAGGGCTGGTCAGTTAGCTCAACTGGTTAGAGCATACAGCCTTCTAACACCAAGGTCATGGGTTCAGATCCCCATACTTGTCATCTGCCAAAAAAAAAACAAAAAACTCATGGAAAGATCTGCATTATCTTTTTTTTTTTTTTTTTTTTTTTTAAAAAAAAATG